ACTCCGTTCCTGTGCGTTCCTGCCCAAAAATAGCCCTGAGTTAATGTACGAGTTGTTTTTTCTAAAGTAAAACCTCAGTATTCAGGTTAAATGGCCGTGTTGGCACTTTGCGATAAATAAGTGGGTTTTGGGTCGCCGTTTGGGCACTCGGTCTCTAAAAGGCTCGCCATCACTGGCTTAGAGGGAGCATGGGAGGTGACCTTTGACCCCCACTCCCCCCCCCAGCTCCAGACAGCTCTAAAGCACCCCCTCTCACCTCCTTCCCCAGTTCCGAGGCTGCATCCTGGAGATGGTGTGCGGGAAGCCCATGGCGGAGGAGTCCGAAGTCTCCAGCGCCTCCCAGAAAACCGAAGTCTCCTCCGTGTCCTCCAGCCAGGTCGGCCCCAGCTAAGGAGACGGTCCGCGGGGCACCGAGGAGCAGAGGACACACAAAAGACATCCCCAACCACACCCACGGTGGCCACGAGGCGTCCAGGCGAGCACCGTGGCTCACGGGGGCAAAGACCCCTTCCCTCTCCCTCCCGGGACATCCACATCTGCTTCGTTCGGCCTCTTACCTTTTCATGGACAGAACAGTTTGGCTTTTCCAAGGTGCCAGGGATGGGAGAAGAGAGAAGAAGAGGAGATTGGATTTCTCTACCCCGCCCTTCACTCCGAGTCCCAGAGCGGATTACTAACTCCCCCCTCCCCACAACAGACGCCCTTGTGAGGTCGGGTGGGGCTGCTGAGAGACTGCCCTTGAGAGAACAGCTCTGACAGAACTTGTGACTGACCCAAGGTCACCCCAGCAGCTGCACGTGGAGGAGTGGGGAATCAAACCCGGCTCTCCCGGATTAGAGTCCACTACACCAAAATCCCAGAACTGCCTCACATGGAATTTCACTGGAGCACCAACTGGAAACTCACCGATCCGGCTTCTCCGTCCGACTGAGCCTCCTAGTATCATCCAGGGCTCCATTTTTGGTACAGATGCTGTGGAAATAGTTGGTTCGGGACCAGTGTTCCCTCTAAGCTGAGTTAGTGTGAGCTAGCTCGCAGTTCTTTAGCCTCCGGCTCATACATTTTTGTCTTAGCTCAGGAAGGATGGCAGTAGCCAAACCGCCTGTTCACAACTTCAATGCCAGGAGCTCACAGAGTAGAATCTTTGCTCACAAGATTCCACAGCTTAGAGGGAACATTGTTCAGGACCATGTTCATTTCAAGAAGCCAGGCCCTCAGTTAGGGTTGCCAGTCTCCAGGTGGGGGCCGGAGATCTCCCAGAATTGCAACTGATCTCCAGAATATAGAGATCAGTTTCCCTAGAAGGTACAGCAGCCTCAGAAGGCAGAGTCTACGGTATACCATAGAGTCTAGGAGGAACAGAAGTCCTAGAACGTTATTACACCCTGCTAAGTTGCCTGTCCCACCCCAGATTCCACCATCTCTGGGCATATCTCCAGGAATTTCCCACGCTGGCGTTGGCAACCCTCTGATATGCACATGTTCCAATGCCTACTAATCAGCTCTGTACCAGGTTTGAGCCACAGGGTAGGCAGATAGGAAGAGCTGGGTGACAGAGCGCAAGGGTGGTTAGTGGTAGCAGCGGAGAGAAACGGGTGAGAATGCAGGGCCTAGCAGAGGTGATCAAGCCCAGTGTCCCCTCTAAGCTGAGTTAGTGTGAAGTAGTTCACCGTTTTTTTAGCCTCCGGCTCACACATCTTTGTCTTCGCTCAGGAAGGGATGGCTCCAGAGCAAACTCATTTACGCAGCAGCCCGATCGCTCGCTCACAACTTTAATGCCAGGAGCTCGCCAAGTAGAATTTTTGCTCACAAGACTCCACAGCTTAGAGGGAGCATTGGTCAAGTCCCCGTCCAGAGCTCCCCTTTCACTTCCCAGCTCGTTGAGGGTCACAGACTGCACATTTTACAGCTGCTCCCATGAGGACTAGAAACCCCTCACCCCAAAAGCTGAAGAAGAGCCCCACAGAAATCCTGACCCTAGTTTTTAACTACGCTGTATAATCAAGGGTCCTCAGCCTTTCTGAGCCTGGGGGGGGGGCGACGACACAAAATGGCTGCTACAGGAGGCAGAGACAGCCACAAAATGAAGAACAAAGAGGGAGAAAAGATTGGCTTTATACCCCCCCCTTCACTGCCCAATGGAGTCTCAGAGCGCCTTATAATCTCCTTTCCCTTCCCCTCCCCATAACAGACACCCTGTGAGGTAGGCAGGGCTGAGAGAGTTCTTTCCAGAACTGCTTCTGAGAGAACAGCTCTGAAAGAACTTGCGACTGTCCCAAGGGCACACCAGCAGCTGCATGTGGAGGAGTGAGGACTCAAACCCGGTTCTCCCAGATTAGAGTCCGCGCTCCTAACCACTACACCAAACTGGCTCTCCGGGAGCCAAAATGCCAGGGAGTGAGGTTACACATAACTCAAACGCTTCAGCGTTTCAGGCAGCACCTCTGTTTAACAGGAGGCCCTTTAATCTGCACGGCTAGTCAGCGGAGAGGGTGGGGTATAAATGGAAGGGAGGGAGGGAGAGAGAGAGAAAGAAAGAGAGAAATAGAGAACGAGAGAGAGAGAGAGAGAGAGAGAGAGAGAGAGAGAGAGAGAGAGAGAGAGAGAGAGAAAGAGACAAAGAGAGGAAAGAAAGAAAGAAAGAAAGAAAGAAAGAAAGAAAGAAAGAAAGAAAGAAAGAAAGAAAGAAAGAAAGAAAGAAAGAAAGAAAGGCAGGCCCAGGCAACCTGCCCACTTTCTGCAAGCACAGCTTAGAGGGAGCATTGCTTTGGACCTGGTTGGATGTGGCCCCATCGTTGCCAGTTGAGAAGGGCTCCCCCGGGAACAGTTCAAGCTTCAGGGTCCCAAAAATGTAGGTCCGCCAGTGGGTGCAGTTCAGAGAGAGAGAGAAAGCTGGTTATTGGAACAAGAGAAGCGGGGGATTTTGTTCAAGAACTCCATCTTGGGGAGGGCAAGGCTGGGTGCGGTATACAAAACCTCACGCCGCTTCCATGCTCCTGGGAGGGTCTCCACATTATGAGAGCAGCTCTTGGCCGGGTTGCCCCCCCCCCCATTAGCTACAAGCATCAGCTACAAGCACAGACAGCTTCAAAAGGGAATTGGATAATCATATGGAGCAGAGGTCCATCAGTGGCTATTAGCCACAAGGTATAGATAGGGGCTCTGGGGCAAGGGATGCTCTGTACTCTTGGTGCTTGGGGGGGGCAACAGTGGGAGGGCTTCTAATGTCCTGGCCCCACTGCTGGACCTCCTGATGGCACCTGGTATTTTTGGCCACTATGTGACACAGAGTGTTGGACTGGATGGGCCACTGGCCTGACCCAACATTGGCTTCTCTTATGTTCTTATGTCTGGGGCAAGTGATGCTCTGTTTTCTTGGTGCTTGGGGGGGGGCAACAGTGGGAGGGCTTCTGGTGTCCTGGCCCCACTGCTGGACCTCCTGATGGCCCCTGGTATTTCTGGCCACTGTGTGACAAGTGTGTTCGGACTGGGTGGGCCACTGGCCTGATCCAACATTGGCATCACTTATGTTAATCCTGACCTTGCCCCCAGTCTGCCCTCTAAGCTGAGTTAGTGTGAGTCAGCTCAGTTTTTTAAGCCTCCGGCTCACACACATTTTTGTCGTAGCTCAGGAAGGAGGGCTCCAGAGCAAACTAACTTATGCAGTAGCCAAGCCGCTCGCTCACAACTTTAATGCCAGCAGCTCACAAGGTAGAATTTTTGCTCACAGGACTCCGCAGCGTAGAGGGAGGATTGGTCTGGGGCGAGTTTGTATTGCAGTGTTGCGTTCTTCTCCCCAAGAGAGGAAGGGATTTCGATTTTCCACCTGAGGGCACAAGCCAAGGTTACCATCTGTCTGTGGGAGGCCAAATCCCCGCACCTGCGGCCCCAATTTTTATTGCTCTCTGGGAAGGGGTTAACCCTTCGTTCCCTGCTCAACCCAAACTTGGCAGCCCTGGCGTCAGATGGATTGCGGTCTGCCTCACAGGGCTGTTGCCAGGAAGGCCGGCTGTGCTGCTTAGAGCAGCTAGTAAAAGCGTACTCAATGCCGTCTGGGCATCTGGTCTCTTATTATTTTTATTAAAAACCGTTATCAGCCCTCCTTTCTCATTATCCCGGTGCCAAGGGTAAAACGCGACAATCTAACCTTACACTTGCATAAACTCCCGTTCCCTCTTCCCCATGCTGAAGAAGAGATGGGATTTATACCCCGCCCTTCACTACCCGGAGTCTCAGAGCGGCTTACAAACTCCTTTCCTTTCCCCTCCCCACAACAGACACCCTGTGAGGTAAGGTGGGGCTGAGAGAGCTCTCTCGAGGACTGCCCTTAAGAGAACAGCTCTGAGAAAACTTGTGACTGACCCAAGGTCACCCCAGCAGCTGCATGTGGAGGAGTGGGGAATCAAACCCGGTTCTCCCAGATTAGAGTCCACGCTCCTAGCCACTACACCAAACTGGATATTTTTTATGTACAGAACACGCCTGAAAATCCAACAGAAGCTTCTACTGCTTGTATATATCCGCCTGTCTTATTATCTGTCTTAGAATTAGGGTCAAGGAGCTGCTACAATAAATCAAGCGAGCCCGTCTGATGCAAAACGACTCTGGGGAGTGCTCATGTCTCCTTAATAAGGTGGCTGTTGAATCACCGCTTCCAGCAAAGGGGGAAACTGCGGTTTGGGGACAGGTGTTTGGAAACCGGCCAGTTCCACCAAGCATTCACAAGAACACTCGTTCGCACCCTTGTTTGTGGTTCTGTTAGATCCCAAGACAGGGGTCCCCAACCTTTTTGAGGCTGCAGGCATTACTGGAAGTCTGCAGTGTGGTGGGCGCAGCCACAAATGGCTGCCGCAAGAGGCGGAGCCAGCCACAAAAATGGCTTCCACGGCTTACCTTCAGTCTCCATCAGTGGCTATTAGCCACAAGGTATAGATAGGAACTCTCGGTCTGGGGGAAGGGATGCTCTGTATTCTTGGCGCTGGGGGAGGGAGTGGGAGGGCTTCTAGTGTCCTGGCCCCACTGCTGGACCTCCTGATGGCACCTGGTACTTTTGGCCACTGTGTGACACAATGTTGGACTGGATGGGCCATTGGCCTGATCCAACATTGGCTTCTCTTATGTTCTTATCACCTAAAGCCTCCCAACTGTTGACTGACGCAAACAGACCACACTCACGGAGCCCGCAGGGATGTAAACATTTTTATTAAGACACTGTTTTGTCTGTAGTACATTATATAAAACTCCATTTACACTCTACAAGATAAAACCTCCTAAAAAGGTGGGCAACGAAGAGAACTTTGGGGGGCGGGAGACGCAAGTTTTGTTCGCCGCCGGCTTTGGATTTGGTCGAATGACGAAAGGGGATCCGAGAGCGCGAATATCGGACCTGCACCGCGGAACAGCCTCGCCGGGACTGAGCTCATCGGGTGTTTTTCGATGCAACCGGACGGTTTCGGTGCACAAATGAACTTCCGCCTCTTCTGGATTCCGAGCAGCATTAAGGGACAAAATGGCCCCAAAGCCCCGTTACAAATTTGGGTTCTTGGCCAGGGGGCTGGTGCCGGGCACGCTGAACACACCCTCTCCCTAAAATGAGGGCGGGGCCCGGGCGATGCTCTCACCTGAGCCCCGGAAAGCTGACGTGGGAACGTGCTTACGGAGCAGACGGCCCTTTAGTGTCCAGCGTTTGGGCCAGACCATTCTGGCAGCAGCTCTCTAAACCTTCCTCCCCCCCCCTCAGAAAAAGGAGACCCTCCCCCTTTTTGTAAGGAATTCCCTCCCCCACTTCCAATTTCCCTTCTGAGACAAAGGAGTCTGTCTGGTCACTGGACTGATCATCCCTTGTACCGTCAGGGCGCCTTTTCCTTCCCTGCTTTAAAACATAAAACGGTTCTGTCAGAGGTGCACGAAATCGGCAGGAGTAGATTGTGTTTCAAGCCTTTGGTCCTTGAGGTTCTCATGAACCAAAGGACACAGGGAAACGCCCCTCAAATCATGATTATTACCGATAGAGGGCCAGGTCACAGGGGGAAGGAGGGACTGACCTGTAGTGTTCAAAGGACTAAAAAGAGCAATCTGGCAAAAGTTGTTCACGACGGACAAGCGCACCGAACCAAAGTTTCCGTGGACTTGGGCCCCCGAAGGCGCGCACGCAGCATCTGCCTTTGGCCAGTTCTGCGCTCGCTCAATCGCAGCTCTTTGCAAACCGCCCACCCCCACCCCAAGAGCAGTACTGTCGCATGAGGGAGAGAAGGCGAGAGAAGCCTTGCGACGGGCAAGATGGAAAGCGGAGCGGCCCAGCGAGAGAGGGAGTGGTTTGCCTTTCGAGGTAACCTGAGCGGACTAGGCAGCTGGGCCTGGAAGCACACAGAGAGACGAGAACACTGTTGGGAAAGCCTTTTTAATACTGATGCGCAAGGGAAATCGACATCGCTGGGGGTCCTGTGACGCCCTGTAGCTGGGGAACCTGGTCTTGGGTTTGTAGAGAAAGGCACTTGGAAAATGCAGGACTGCCAGGTTTTCCCCGTGGTTCCACCGTTCGCCTTGCCCTCTGATGCCAACGCTGCGTTCACCCGCCCACCCGTCTGGCTCTTGAGGAGATGGGGAAGGTGCATTATGGGAAAATCCTCATCACTGGAGATAACAGTGGTGGCGGACAACACAAGAAGGCTCCATCAACAAAATTTCCTGTTAGCTACAATTCTCCCCCTTTCCCACCCCCTTAGAAGAAGAAGAGAAGAGATTGGATTCATACCCCCGCCCTTCACTACCCAAGGGAGTCTCAGAGCGACTTACAAGCTCCTTTCCCTTCCCCTCCCGACAACAGACACCCTGTGAGGGAGGCGGGGCTGAGAGAGCTCTGACGGAAACTGCTCTTTTTTCAAGGACAGCTCTTATCAGAACTAAATTTCCCACCCCCTTAAAAAAATCATCAGACAGAGGCTGCTACGTTTGTGTGTCGTTCCCCTCAGCCTTCCTTGTTCTCTGGCATTTTACCTATCGTAGGAGATCACTAAACACACAACACTGAAAAGGGGGGAAACGGGTTGGATGGGGGGGGGAAACGGGTGCGATTTGGGGGACTGCTTTATTCATCTCACGCGGGACCCCCCAAAAAAAATTAATACAAAAATAAACAGAACTTGTTAGATGTAAAAACAAAACACAAATCTTTTTTTAAAAAACACCACACACCCTCCGAGCATCGCCACCAAAACAGAACTCTGAATACCGATCCCGGGGAAGCTGGTAAAGGGCCGATGGGATGGATTCTCTTTGTTGTTGTTCTTGTTTTTCCGCGTTGTTGCCTGAAACTGCCAGTCTCAGTAGTGAGAGTTTCTCGTGTTACTCCGGAAACCGTCAAAAAATAAATTACTTCTCCACCCCCTTCTTTCGTGACGAAAGGAGGTCTCCCCCCGCTGGGGCTCAGAACTCGTCGTGTCGTACCAAGGCCTCCCCGAAGTCCGTGGCCTGGCTGCCCACAAACAAGTCGTACTTGTCCACGATTTCTTCTTTGGTGAGTCTGCCGTCCTGGGAGGGCACAAGACAGGGAGGAGGTGAGGACCCCAATCTCGGGAGGCCTGGGCGACTATCAGCCCCCCCCCCCCAATATATACAAGTCACTAAGGTTTCCCACCAGTCAGAGACACTCGTCTGGTAGGCGATGATACAGGACCTTTTCAGTGGAAGCCCCACAACTAGGGAGCAAACGCCTTAGGAAAGTGCACCTGGCCCCCTCATGGTTGATGTTCAGGGGGCAGCCGAAGACAGTCTTACTTAGGACGGCATTGGACTGATCGCGTTTTTACTTATTGGCAATTTTTAAATTGTGAATTTTTACGCGTCTTTAGAATCACAGAGTTGGAAGGGGTCTCCAGGGGTCATCTAGCCCAACCTCCTGCACAAGGCCATTATAGAATCATAGAGTTGGAAGGGACCTCCAGGGTCATCTAGTCCAACCCCCTGCACAATGCAGGACATTCACGAATACCTTCCCCCCCCCACACACACACCCCACTGATCCCTGCTCCATGCCCAGAAGAGGGAGGGAAGAAAAACACCCCACAACCCTCCAGGATCCCCGGGCAAACTCGCCTGGAGAATAATTTCTTCCTGACCCCAAAGTGGCAATCAGGCAGGAAACTCACAAATACCTCCCCCTCCACCACCACCCCCAGTGATTGCTGTTCCATGCCCAGAAGATGACAAAAAAAACCCTCCAGGATCTCCAGCCAAACTGGCCTGGAGAAAAATGGCTTCCTGAACCCAAAGTGGCGATCGGCATTTCTCTGGGCGCGTCAGAAAGGGCCACGAGAACTAAGCCCTGAGGCAACCCTCCCTGCCCTCCCTCTCAGGATCTGCCTTAGCTCACAGGATCAGCGTTGCTTTGTGGTTGTTTTATTTATATTGCTTTCACTGCGCTTTATAATTGTTTTATTTATGCTGCAAACTGCCTTGAGTTCCCCAAGGGGAAAAGGTGGCGAGTAAATTTTAAATAAATAAATAAAGGTTTGGTCACACGCAAACCCTCCTCCAGTCCCACTGAAACAAACAGGAGCCGAGCACCAGTGCTTCTCACGCACAGCCCTTGCTGTTTTCAATGGGGAATGTGCAGGAGAACTTCCCAGCAGAGAACCTGCATAACCAGGGCTCCTGCAAAGCATAGGAGAGGGGCAAGGGCCGTTCCCCAGAGGAACTACAAGGGACGGGAATCACAGAATCATGGAGTTGAAAGGTATCTCCAAGGTCATCTAGCCCAACCCCCCCTTGCACAATGCAAGAAGAAGAAGAAGAGGAGGAGGAGGAGGAGGAGATTGGATTTCTACCCCGCCCTTCACTACCCAAGGGAGTCTCAGAGCGGCTGACAGACTCCTTTCCCTTCCCCTCCCCACCACAGACACCCTGTGAGGCAGGTGGGGCTGAGAGAGCTCTCTTGAGAACTGCTCTTGAGAGAAGAAGAGATTGGGTTTATCTCCCACCCTTCACTACCCAAAGGAGTCTCAGAGCGGCTGACAGACTCCTTTCCCTCCCCCTCCCCACCACAGACACACTGTGAGCAATGTTCCCTCTAAGCTATGGAGTCTTGTGAGCAAAAAAATCTACTTTGTGAGCTACCAGCATTAAAGCAATTTGGCTACTGCATAAATCAGTCTGCTCTGGAGCCATCCTCCCTGAGCGAAGACAAAACTGTGTGAGCCGGAGGCTAAGAAACTGTGAACTAGCTCACATTAACTCAGCTTAGAGGGAACACTGCCTGTGAGGTGGGCGGGGCAGAGAGAGCTCTCTCTCGAGGACTGCCCCGGAGAGAACAGCTCTTAAGAGAACTTGTGACTGACCCAAAGTCACACCAGCGGGCTGCCTATGGAGGAGGAGTGAGACATCAAACCCGGTTCTCCCAGATTAGAGCCCGCGCAGAAATACCTCCCCCCCACACACACTATGGCACGGGAGCAATGAAGGCGGAGGACAGTGGAAGCAAGCGCAGGCTAGGGTGATCTGTGGGTCTTTTGGGTACAGGCTCCACGACTGGGCACGAACTAGCTGGAGCTTCTCTTGGGCAGGCCTTATGGAGATAGGTCACGGCGAACAGCCGTGTCGGCCTGTCTGCGGCCGCAGAAAAGAGCCAGAGTCCAGCAGCGCCTTCAAGACTAACAGAACTGGGGGCGGGGGGGGGCTTCCGGGAGTGGTGACTCACGCCCTGCCACACCTCTTCTCAGTCTCCAAGGCCTTGTGGGGGCACGAGAGCACCGGAACACCAGCAAGCCTCACGGTACCTCTACAGATGAACTCTGGCAGCCCGGGCCGGTCACCCTCTGCTGGCCTTCCGTCTCACCTTGTCCTGATCCGACTCGTAAACCAGGTGCCGTGCTTCCGCCTCGGCGTGGTCGTAGTCCGAGGGCAAGATCCAGTCTTTGGTCTCCTCCTTGTCCATCTTCCCGTCGCGGTTCTTGTCCCGGAACTCGACAAACTGCTCCCGCTCCGTCTTCACCCACTCGGGCTCTTCGGCGTCGCCGTCGTGGCTGTACATGTCACCTGGCAGGAAGGCGAGAACGGCGCGGTTATGGGAGCTGGCTCTCCCCCTCTTACAAAGTCACCGAGTTGGGCTTTCAATCTACCCAAACTCCAGGAACTGGGAAGGCAGCCGGGAGGAAAGACTCTCTGTAAGTGAAGCCAGTATTATAATGCACTTGATGCTTTGGCAGTGGCAGCAGAACGACTCTTGGCAGTGACCAATTTGGCTGCCTGCCCCTCGCCGCCAAACAGCTGGGCAGGCGAGGAGGGCGGCTGGCTGTCTTTGGCTAGTCCGCAGTGTCCCCAAGGTCCATGTATTACCAAAGGGCCAAGGCAAAGGGTAGAGATGAGGCAGGGCCCTGAGGAAGCGCCAAGCCGAGGTGCAAGGAAAAAGGGATCCGGGCACGGAGTGACCCAGAAGGAAAAGGCGTGAAAGAGGAAAGAATGAAAATGATGAGCGCTTAAAGAATGGTCATACAAAAGAGAAGAAGAGATTGGATTTATACCCTGCCCTCCACTACCCAAGGGAGTCTCAGAGCGGCTCACAAACTCCTTTCCCTTCCCCTCCCCACAACAGACACCCTGCGAGGTCGGCGGGGCTGAGAGAGCTCTGACAGGAACTGCACTTTTTCAAGGACAGCTCTGACAGTACTCTGGCTTGCCCAAGGTCAGCCAGGTGAAAGTGGAGGAGTGGGGAATCAAACCCGGTTCTCCCAGATTAGAGCCCACACACTTAACCAGTTCACCAAACTGGCTCTCACATAACCACTACACCAAACTGTGTGTGCAAAAGGGGGTAGGTTCGCTAAAGAAGATAAGAGTTTGGATTGATACCCTGCCCTTCACTCGGAGTCTCAGAGCAGCTTACAATCTCCTTTCCCCTCCCCTCCCCACAACAGACACCCTGTGAGGCAGGTGGGGCCGAGAGAGCTCTCCCGAGAACTGCCCTTGAGATAACAGCTCTGAAAGAACTTGTGACTGACCCAAGGTCACACCAGCAGCTGCATGTCCACTCTATTCTGCTATGGTCAGGCCTCACCTGGAGTACTGTGTCCAGTTTTGGGCACCACATTTTAGGAAAGATGTTGACAAGCTCGAGCGTGTCCAGAAGAGGGCGACCAGGATGGTGAGAGGGTTGGAATCCAAGTCTTAGGAGGAAAGGCTGAAAGAGTTGGGTCTGTTTAGCCCGGGAAAGAGAAGGCTTAGAGGGGACATGATTGCAGTCTTCAGATATCTGAAGGGCTGCCATGTAGAAGATGGAGCAGATCTATTCTCTCTTGCTCTGGATTACAAGACTAGATCTAGTGGGTGGGAATTACAAGGGAGTCATGACCGGCTAAATCTTAGCAGAAACTGTCAGAGTGCTTGAGCAGTGGAACCGTCTGCCTCGGGAGGTGGCGGACGCTCCTTTGCTGGACGTTTTCAAGCGGAGGCTGGGCGACCATCTTTTGGGTATGTTGCAGGGCTCTCTTTCGGCTCTGCTCCTGCAGTGTGAAGGGGGTTGGACTGGATGACCTGCAAGGTCCCTTCCAACTCCAACGTTCTATGATTCTATGTGAAGGAGAGGGGAATGAAACCCGGTTCTCCCAGATTAGAGTCCATCTCTCCTAACTACTACACCCAACTGGCTTGGGTGTGTGTGTGTGTGTGTGTGTGTGTGGTGTCCCATTAAAAAGAAAATGGACTCCAATGAGTATCACCCCAGCCGTACCTCTGAACCAGCTAGGGGTCATCAGGCGGCCATTGATTGGCTATCCCACCACTTAGGGCGGCCCGTCTGGAACTGACCTCTTTGGAGATCTTCAGGAGGCGCTGCCAAGGCCCGCCTGCTCACCAGGGCTTTCGAGAAAGTCTGAATGGCAGAGGGATCTGGGCAAGGATACGCGAGAAGCTGATGCCCCCACGGACTTCATGCTGACCTCCCCCCATGCCAGTTGGCTACTTGGCATTTAGGGCAGCAAGGACTGAGGAAGGTGTGAGGCAGGTGCTCTGTGCCACTCGCTCCCCCACCCCACAAATTAAGAGTCACGGATACACGGCCACATGCAGAGGCCAATCGGTGTGTGCCACAGGGGAGCCTGTACGGACTGGCCCCGCCCCCTCCGAGGCACGTCCACAAAACATCAGCAGAACGAACACAAGTGTACGAGCTGGACACGCGCAGGCGGTGGCTGAGTGACAGAGCATCTGCCTTGAATGCGGAAGGTCCCAGGTTCAATCCCCAACATCCCCAGTTAAAAAAGGACCAGGCAGTAGGTGATGGGAAAGACCTCCGCCTGAGACCCTGGAGAGTTGTAAAGAGGGGCTGTGGCTCAGTGGCAGAGCCTCTGCTTGGCATGCGGAAGGTCCCAGGTTCAATCCCCAACATCCCCAGTTAAAAAAGGACCAGGCAGTAGGTGATGGGAAAGACCTCCGCCTGAGACCCTGGAGAGTTGTAAAGAGGGGCTGTGGCTCAGTGGCAGAGCCTCTGCTTGGCATGCGGAAGGTCCCAGGTTCAATCCCCAACATCCCCAGTTAAAAAAGGACCAGGCAGTAGGTGATGGGAAAGACCTCCGCCTGAGACCCTGGAGAGTTGTAAAGAGGGGCTGTGGCTCAGTGGCAGAGCCTCTGCTTGGCATGCGGAAGGTCCCAGGTTCAATCCCCAACATCCCCAGTTAAAAAAGGACCAGGCAGTAGGTGATGGGAAAGACCTCCGCCTGAGACCCTGGAGAGTTGTAAAGAGGGGCTGTGGCTCAGTGGCAGAGCCTCTGCTTGGCATGCGGAAGGTCCCAGGTTCAATCCCCAACATCCCCAGTTAAAAAAGGACCAGGCAGTAGGTGATGGGAAAGACCTCCGCCTGAGACCCTGGAGAGTTGTAAAGAGGGGCTGTGGCTCAGTGGCAGAGCCTCTGCTTGGCATGCGGAAGGTCCCAGGTTCAATCCCCAACATCCCCAGTTAAAAAAGGACCAGGCAGTAGGTGATGGGAAAGACCTCCGCCTGAGACCCTGGAGAGTTGTAAAGAGGGGCTGTGGCTCAGTGGCAGAGCCTCTGCTTGGCATGCGGAAGGTCCCAGGTTCAATCCCCAACATCCCCAGTTAAAAAAGGACCAGGCAGTAGGTGATGGGAAAGACCTCCGCCTGAGACCCTGGAGAGTTGTAAAGAGGGGCTGTGGCTCAGTGGCAGAGCCTCTGCTTGGCATGCAGAAGGTCCCGGGTTCAATTCCCGGCATCTCCAGTTAAAAAGGACCAGGCAGGAGGTGATGGGAAAGACCTCCACCCGAGATTCCGGAGAGCCGCTGCCAGTCTGAGGAGACGGTACTGACCTTGCTGGACCACGAGAGTCTGCTTCAACTTAAGGCAGCGGGATCCCTGTGCTCAGGGAGGGTTAAAAAACAGCACTCCCAATGGCAGAGAGAGAGACACACAGGTATGCTTTGCCCACGTCCAGGACCACTTGCTCCCGCTGTGTCCTTGGTTCCTACAGATGACATGTGGACAGGGCCTCGCTCTGCTTGGGCTGTGCAAACGCAGAACTAAAAGAACGGAAGCGTTCCCGCTCCACTCTCAAGCTATGGAGGATGATACGGCGCCTTCCCCAGGGAATCTGTCAGGCGCCACCCCATCAGTTTCCTCCGGCCAAGGAGAGAAGTTTTGGAGAAAACTGCTCTGCAAAATCACGACAAGAAAAGAAGCCGGGGGGCGGGGGGGACTCCAGCCCTTTGCTCACCTATGTATTCTTCCAAGTCAATTAAGCCATCTCCATTCTTATCAATGTCTTCCATAGTTTCCTAAGAACATAAGAACAGAAGAGAAGCCAATGTTGGATCAGGCCAATGGCCCATCCAGTCCAACACTCTGTATCACACAGTGGCCAGAAATACCAGGAGCCATAGGGAGGTCCAGCAGTGGGGCCAGGACACTAGGAGCCCTCCCACTGTTGCCCACCCCCCAAGCACCAAGAATACAGAGCATCCCTTGCCCCAGCCTGAGAGTTCCTGTCTATCCCTTGTGGCTCACAGCCACTGATGGACCTCTGCTCCATATAAAAACATAAGAGACGCTAATGATGGATCAGGCTAATGGCCCATCCAGTCCAACACAGTGGCCAAAAATACCAGGAGCCATCAGGAGGTCCAGCGGTGGGGCCAGGACACTAGAAGCCCTCCCACTGTGCCCCCCCCAAGCACCAAGAATACACAGCATCACTGCCCCATACATAAGAACAGAAGATCTATACCTTGTGGCTAATAGCCACTGATGGACCTCTCCTCCATATGTTGATCCAATTCATAAGAACATAAAAGAAGCCGATGTTGGATCAGGCCAATGGCCCCTCGAGTCCAACACTCTGTCACACAGTGGCCAAAAACACCAGGTGCCCTCAGGAGGTCCACCAGTGGGGCCAGGACACTAGACGCCCTCCCACTGTTGCCCCCCCCCCAAGCACCAAGAATACAGAGCATCACTATCTATACCTTGTGGTTAATAGCCACTGATGGACCTCTTTGAAGAAGAAGAAGATAAGAGATTGGATTTATACCCCGCCCTTCACTTGGAGTCTCAGAGCGGCTTGCAAACTCCTTTCCCTTCCCCTCCCCACAACAGACACCCTGTGAGGTAGGTGGGGCTAAGAGAGCTCTGAGGCAAACTGCTCTTTTTCAAGGACAGCTGTGCCAGAGCTTGTGACTGACCCAAGGTCACATCAGCAGGTGCAAGTGGAGGAGTGGGGACTCAAACCCGGTTCTCCCAGATTAGAGTCCGCACACTTAACCACTACGCCAAACCGGCTCTCAAATGTGTGTGAGTACCTGGCTTACAGCACACCTGCTTTGAGAAAAATGTGTGTGAGTACCTGGCTTACAGCGCACCTGCTTAACCGCAGTGTATTTTTAGCCAGTGTGTGGCCCGGCACCCACCTGCACGACAATATCTTTCATGTAGTCGTATTCTTCGGGATGCAGGAAGGCTGTGAATTCTTCTTTGGTGGCAATCAGATCACCGTCCCTGTCGGCCATTTTGAACCTCCGCTCGTCTCTTGTCATCATCTGTTTGTAGTTAAATCCGTCGTCGGGGTCGGGGTCGTCTGGGGGGGAAGAGAAGGCGGCGGCCCTTAGCGAACCGGAGATCGGCAGAGCCCAGCGTCCGACATTCCATATTTAATCTACTAGCACAACACATTTATTTACTGAAAACATTTTATTTGTCGTCTTTCCACCCAAGCACGGTCCCCAAGGCGGAACTGCCCATGTTACAGTCTTGAGATCTGGGGAAGCCAACCCCCACGCATTAATTAAGGGCCTCCTTAAGACGGTGGGCTCAAAGAAGACACCCCGGTCAAGATGGAAGCCGCTGTGCGGTTCTGCGTCAATCCGATATGGTTCCTGCCCTGCAGGGGGAGCCACTGAGTGCATGGCACTTATATGCACCGGCTCCTGCTCGGGAACGTCTTAATCACCGCAGCTGCACCGTTCCCGAAATGGGACTCCTTCGACTCATCTAAAACTTCTGGTCATGTACCGAAATAAAACGTAAACGCACGGGAAGGGAGCCAAGCCAGGCTGCTTTGTGATCAGGTTGACTCTTTGCCACTTGGGAGTGATGTTCCCTCTAAGCTGCGGAGAGTCTTGTGAGCAAAAATCCTACTTTGTGAGCTACCGGCATTAAAGTGGTGAGCGAGCGATTGGGCTGCTGCGTAAATAAGTTTGCTCTGGAGAGCCCTCCTTCCTGAACGAAGACAAAACGTGTGTGAGCCGGAGGCTAAAAAAACTGTCAGCCGGCTCACACTGACTCAGCTTAGAGGGGACACTTGGCACTCCTGGGTTCAAATCGAGCTCTTCTACCGCAGACCATCACAGCTGCCCTTCTGAAGCCACCTCTGGCAAGAGACCCAATGAGCCAGTCGTGAGGAGCCCAAGTCATTCTGCACCCAGCTGGGGCCTATGGGACACAGAAGCCGCCATCCCCAAGTTAAAAGGTGCAAGGAGGCAATATCCCTTCCTCCGCTGCACCAGGACACCAGAGGGGACACCCCGGGGAGGGGGGGGGTGTCCCAGGGAAAGGGTCTGCATGAGTCCTGAGGCACCCAGCAGCAGACAATGAGAAGTCACAGGTAATAAAGAGCCCACATCCACCTAAAACCAAATCACCATTCAGACACATTTATGAATTAAAAGCATTAATAAAGCAGAGGGGTGAATCTGCCTCTCCGTCCAAAATTTAAGAAGAAGAAGAGATGGGATTTATACCCCGCCCTTCGCTCGGAATCTCGGAGCGGCTTACGATCTCCTTCCCTTCCTCTCTCCACAACAGGCCCCCTTGTGAGGTAGGTGGGGCTGAGAGAGCTCTGACCAAGAACTGTGACTGACCCAAGGCCACCCAGCTGGCTGCATGCGGAGGAGGAGTGGGGGAATCAAACCTGGTTCTCCAGATCAGAGTCCGCCGCTCTTAACCAGTACACCAAACTTTTGTGAGAGCTTCCTCTGTGCTCGTTCACCTGAATTGGCAACTAGTCACCTTTAGAGAAGTAAAGTATCACTCTCCTGAGAGCCAGTTTGGTGTCGTGGTTAAGTGCGTGGGCTCTAATCTGGGAGGACCGGGTTTGATTCCCCAGTCCTCCGCTTGCACCTGCTGGATGACCTTGGGCAAGTTCTGATAAGAGCTGTTCTTGAAAAAAGAGTACTTTCTGTCACAGCTCCCTCAGCCCCGCCTACCTCACAGGGTGTCTGTTGTGGGGAGAGAAAGGGAAAGGAGTTTGTAAAACGCTCGGGAGGAAGGGCGGGTTATAAATCCAATCTCTTCTTCTTTGGGAAGGACCAGGAAGTCAGGGTCCTAGTCTCCCCAGAGTTGGGTCAGCTAGTCCACCCCCCTTCCCGTGCAGGAACTACAACTCTAATCTCCCCAACAGGCAGGGACCTCATCGAAACGGGGGAGGGGGGGTCGCATCAAGAGGGGCTCAACCCTAGAGCGATGCTCCCTCTAAGCGGTGGAGTCTTGTGTGTAAAAAATCCTACTTTGTGAGCTGCTGGCACAAAAGTTGTGAGCGAGCGATTTGGCCGCTGCATAGATCAGTTTGCTCTGGAGCCCTCCTTCCTGAGCGAAGGCAAAAACGTGTGAGCCGGAGGCTAGAAAACTGTGAGCTGGCTCACACCGACTCAGCTTAGAGGGAACACTGCCCTGGAGCACTCATTCTGCGCTGCCAGGAGGAGGACGGGGCCCTTCTGCTTTATTGGGGGACGGTCGCCGTGGTCCCCGCCGCTCGGTCCGCTCGCCCCCTTACCCAGGTAAGTGCCATAGGTCACGTTCCTGTACTCATCCCAGGAGATGAGGCCATCCCGGTCCGTGTCAAACTCCTGCCACTGGCGCGCCACATTGTCATACACGTACTTCTTCTGCGCCTTCTTGATCCAGGCCTTCAGCTCTCCCTCGGTCACAAACCCATCCTTATCCGTGTCTATCTTATCTACCATCATTCTGCGGGACAAAACAGCAGGGTTCAAGGGGCTGGAGAGACCTACCTAGGATGTAGCCGTAGGTGGCGTTTTTGTACTCTTCCCAGGAAATCAGCCCGTCCTCATTGAGGTCGTGGCCTTTCCACTGGCGCTCGACATCCTCGTATATCCAGCGCTTTTGGGCAAACTTAATCCAGGCTTTGAGCTCCTCGGCCGTTACAAACCCGTCTTTGTCTTCGTCTATCTTACTTACAATCTTTCTGTAGGGAATGCAGAAAAAGTCGGCAACGGTTAAGAGGGGGAGAGGCCGGGGGGGGGGGGGCGCGACCGTGTGGAATCCTTGTCGTTAATGGAGGACGGCGAAGAACGCTCTGCGGCAGCACAGCCCACCAGGAAGAGCTCCGCTGCCCTTCTGGGCAGGAAAGGGGCTGAAGGAATGATTGAGGGCCCCAGGTGCAAAAGAGGGCAACTGGGTGGGTGCTGGGAAATTAAGCATTTGCCCCCCAGCCTCATGTAAGAACGTAAGAGAAGCCATGTTGGATCAGGCCAATGGCCCCTCCAGTCCAACACTCTGTGTCACACAGTGGACAAAACCCAGGGGCCCTCAGGAGGTCCACCAGTGGGGCCAGAAAACCAGAAGCCCTCCCGCTGTTGCTCCACAAGGACCAAGAGTACAGAGCATCACTGCCCCAGACAGAAGAACAGAAGAGAAGCCATGTTGGATCAGACCAATGGCCCATCCAGTCCAGTACTCTGTCTCACGTAGTGGCCAAAACCCAGGGGACATCAGGAGGTCCACCAGCAGGGCCAGAACTCCAGAAGCCCTCCCGCTGTTTGTCCCACAAGCACCAAGAGTACAGAGCATCATTGCCCCAGACAGAAGAACAGAAGAGAAGCCATGCTGGATCAGATCAATGGCCCATCCAGTCCAGTGCTCTGTCTCACATAGTGGCCAAAACCCAGGGGACATCAGGCGGTCCACCAGCAGGGCCAGAACTCCAGAAGCCAAGTAGTCTAATATACTATTAGCATCACTGCCCCAGACAGAAGAACGTAAGAGAAGCCATGTTGGATCAGACCAATGGCCCATCCAGTCCAGTACTCTGTGTCACACAGTGGCCAAAACCCAGGTGCCAAAAAGAGGTCCCACCAGCATTGGGGCCAGAATTCCAGAAGCCCTCCCGCTGTTGCCCCACAAGCTCCAAGAGTACAGAGCATCACTGCCCCAGACAGAAGAACATAAGAGAAGCCATGTTGGATCAGGCCGATGGCCCATCCAGTCCAGCACTCTGTGTCACACGGCGGCCAAAGCCTAGGGGCCCTCAGGAGGTCAACCAGCGGGGCCAAAACTCCAGAAGAACGCTGTCCAGGCACAGTTTGATGGGCTGGGTTTCACTCACAAAGCCTTCAGATATGAACGCACTCTGGCAAACAAGGACAGTGCACCTTGCCAATGAGACTCACATCCAGGAGGTGCCCCCGCTCAACAACCACTGAGAGCCACTGTTCCAAAGGCAGGATGCAGAGTGGGCTGTTCCACCAGGTGCCTGCAGCCAAGCTCACAGGTTTCACAGCCAGCACCTGTTAGGGCCACCTGTTCCTTCCCCCAACAGGACACAAGGGCAAGTGCCAGCACTGCCCCGCCTCCTCCCCACAGAAATCCTGACGAGGCTGGGGCAGTGCTGGCACTTGCCCCCGTGTCCTGTTGGGGGAAGGAACACGCAACTTACCCTCCCTCTTCTCCGGCCTCCTCCTGGCTGAATGAGGGCCGGAAGCGGGGCGGCCGGAAGCAGGGGGCGGGGCTTCGTCGTGTGCCCCGCCCCCGTACCTCACCCGGGGGAACTGCGATCCCCCGCGATCCCCCCCGAAATGACCTCTGGGTGGCCCTATTAGACGTCTCTGCATCATGTGGCTGTGTAACCTGTGAGCTTGGCACCTGGTGGAACAGCGCACTCTGCACCCTGCCTTTGGAACAGTGGTTCTCAGTGGCTGTTGAGCGGGGGCACCTCCTGGACACCCTGAAGCAATGGGGCAGAGCGATGGTTCGGAAACCTCTGCTCGAGTCCCTTCTGGCTCAAGCCGAATGGGCAGGGGTGAGCACAGAAGGACATGCTCACGGCCACTAACAGGGGAGCTGTTCAAATTGCAGGTCACCTGACTTGGGGGATGAATGTCAGGACATGAATTAAGAGGTCAGTTGTATTACGTTGCTGGACAAAGAGCAAAAGTGACTTTGACAACGTATCAAAAGTGACTGCTTAGACACAGTGCCAACAGTAGACTGCTGGGCTCCTTATGTCTTTTTTTGGGTGTTTTTTTTTATATGTGCGTGTGTGAGAGAGTGTGTGTGTGCACCTGGAAGTCATGTTGACCTCTGGTGACTGACCCCTACAGGGGGCCTGGAGGATATTCAGAGAGGTGGCGGAATAAAGCCTGTCATGGAATCATAGAATGTTAGAGTTTGGAAGGGACCTTGCAGGTCATCTAGTCCAACCCCCTGCACTCTGCAAGAGCATAGCCGAAAGAGAGCCCTACATACCTACAAGAAGAAGAAGAGAGATTGGATTTATACCCCGCCCTTCACTTGGAGTCTCAGAGCAGCTTACAAACTCCTTTCCCTTCCCCTCCCCACAACAGGCACCCTGTGAGGTGGGTGGGGCTGAGAGAACTCTGACACAAACTGCTCTTTTTCAAGGACAGCTGTGCCAGAGCTTGTGACTGACCCAAGGTCACATCAGCAGGTGCAAGTGGAGGAGTGGGGAATCAAACCCGGTTCTCCCAGATCAGAGTCCGCGCACTTAACCACTGCACTAAACTGGCTCTGTACCAAAAACTGGGTACAACATACTGGGTACAAACTGGGTACAAAATGCACCAAACTGGGTACAACATACCCGGAAGATGGTCGCCCAGCCTCCGCTTAAAAACGTCCAGCGAAGGAGCATCCGCCCCCTCCCGAGGCAGACTGTTCCACTGGTCAACCACTCTGACAGTGAGGAAGTTTCTCCTGATACTGAGGCGGTAACGACTCCCTTGCAATTTCCACCTATTAGATCTAGTCTTGCAATCCGGAGCAAGGGAGAATAGATCCGCTCCATCTTCTACATGACAGCCCTTCAGATACTTGAAGACTGCAATCATGTCCCTGTCCTCCTGACCCTCTAAGCTGTGGGGTCCTGTGAGCAAAAAGTCTACTTTGTGAGCTGCCGGCATGAAAGTTGTGAGCAGGCAAGTGATTTGGCTACTGCATAAATTAGTTTGCTCTGGACTGGAGCCATCCTTCCCCACTGCTGTCACTTCAGTACTTTTCTCCGGTTATTGACATGACAGCGGCCAGAAGAGAACTGGTGGGATGTCCGCACCCCGCCTCTTCGGGCATGCGCAGTGGGGTTCCCGCACGTGCCTGGGAGGGAGGCGCGAAAATCCCGTTGTGAGCTTTGTTATTCCACCAATTTGGATCCGCGCAGGCGCATAATCCCATGGGTGTGATGCACAGAGACCAAGAAGGAGATCTGTGAACTAGCACACCCTAACTCAGCTTAGAGGGAACACTGCTCCGGACTGCTGGTATTCAAAGGAGGTCTCCCCTCCAAGTCCTTGCCAGAGTCGACTCTACTTAGCTTCCGAGTTCTGACAAGATCAGGCTTGCCTGGACTATCCAGGTCAGGGTGGCTCTTGATGTCTTTAATGATGTAAAGGCTCGTTCGAGAAAGGCCCCGCAGACAGGTTTATTACGAAAGGCCTTCGAGTCAACGGGTGAACTTGCAAGGCTTACTTTCAGAGGAACGCTTCCAAGTCCGGGACAGTAGAAGCCCAGGAGTGCAAAGCCAAAAATAACCACAGATCTCATCACTGTGAACTGATACGGGGTGGGGGGGATTCTCCATGGCATGGCAGAGGGAGGGCGGCGGCTCTCTCTCACTCTCTCAAGGTCACACACCCTCGGTGTGGAGCTAACTCGGACAAACGCACTTCGCTTAGTAGCCCTGCTCTTTCTGAATGCCGGGGATTCCTCTGAAGCCTGTTCAGATTTCAGGAAACGTTCACAAGCGGCCCAAAACGCAACGTCTATATGAATTCTTTGGCAGTTTGGCAGCAACTGAATTGACACTTCGCCGGGGGGAAGGGACCCTTGGCCAAGACCAAGGCTAATATTCTGAGCTCCACCAAATTAAGGGGGACTTACTTCTAAGTAAAAAGTAAAAGGTAAAGGTCTCCCTTGCTCGAAAGCCAGTCGAGTCCGACTCTAGGATTGCGGTGCTCATCTCCATTTCAAAGCCGAAGAGCCAGCACTGTCCAAAGAGGTTTCCGTGGTCATGTGGCCGGCATGACTAAACACCAAGGCGCACGGAACGCCGTTACTCTCCTGCCAAAGTGGTACCTATTTGTCTACTTGCAATTTCTTGCTTTCGAACTGCTAGGTTGGCAGGAGCTGGAACTGGAGACGGGAGCTCACTCCGTCATGTGGAACACTCAAGTCTCGAACTGCCGACCTTCCACAGCCCGCAGTTCGGTGTCTTAACCACTTGAGCCACCGCAGCTCCCAATTACTTCTAAGTAAGATGGCTAAAATTGGGGCCACGAGTCTGTTTAGAGGCAAGTATGCTGGGCTGAGCAAAGCACTTCTGCTCTCCGGGGTTCATGCAAGACTTCCTCCTCCTCCTTGCCTGGAAGTTCTCCACGTCTAATCCCAAGGAGCATGCAGAGTATTTCCTAACACTGAAGAGAACTTGGCTGATCCTGCTCTCCCAGAGTGCCGAATGTGGGATAGTGAGCAGCGCATCCAACGGGCTACAAAGGGCATTCCTTTGTGGCCTGTGGTGTGCACTGCCCACTATACCAATCTGGGCCCTGCGAGGAAATCACCAAGCAACCAACCAACCACATCTCCAGGGCTTCCTAAGGAGAAGACTCCTCAGCTAGTAGTTCCTGGACATGGAGAATATGTCTATCAATGGCTACTAGCAGTCAGCCTCTGAATCCCAGAGCCAGGAGGCAACATCAGGGGAAGGCCTCGGCCTCTCTGCCCTGTTATTGGCCCTCCAGGGGAACTGGCTGGCCACTGCGTGAGACGGGATGCTGGACTAGATGGACCCTCACTGGTCTGATCCAGCAGAAGACGTTGTCTTCTGTTCTTACAAAGGCCTCGGCCTCTCTGCCCTGTTGTTGGCCCTCCAGATGAACGGGTTGGCCACTGCATGAGACAGGAGGCTGGACTGGATGGACCCTCACTGGTCTGATCCAGCAGGGCTCTTCTGATGTTCTTATGGAGGCCTCGGCCTCTCTGCCCTGTTGTTGGCCCTCCAGAGGAAAACTGGCTAATCACTTTGTGAGACCGGATGCTGGACTAGAGGGACCCTCACTGGTCTGATCCAGCAGGGCTCTTCTGATGTTCTTATGACAGAGGCCTCCCACTTACTCCCCCCCAATACAGCTGTGTCAACCCCCCCTCCAATGTTTGCTTACCCCAGTCTCTCCTTGCTTTCTTCTGGCGTCAGCTGGTCAAAGGTCTTTGCCTCCTCTGCGCCCAGGAAGGCATCGTGGTCATAGTCAAAACTCTGTGCGTCGTCGTGGACCTTGTCACTCAATTCAGGGTCGTGGTGGACACGGTCCTTCTTCTCCGTGGGCTTGCCCAGGACGCAAAGGGCCCACAGGGAGAGGAACACTGCCGCTTGCCGAACTGCCGCAGCCATGGCGACTCCCTTCGGAAACCTGAGAGAGAGGCGACAGCTTGTGTAACTCGAGGCACAGAGGCAGAGGAGCATTTGGGCTTCCCCAGGTGACCATCAGCTCCACTTCACGGCCACCACCCTTCCCCCAAGACCCTTCCACATGGAAAACAGAAGTCATTAGCAGCATAGCGATCTGGCTTCCGGGGACACAAACCAGTTTTAATTAACGGGAAGTGATGGGGATTGAAAAGAGCAGAATGTCTCCCAAGGACCCCCGTGGGCATCATTTCCAGCGGCACTCAAGAGCCATTATTTACACGGGGAAAACTAGTGGGGCGACACACGCTCCAGAATTAACAAGCCAGGATCAAGCTGAAGTGTAACAGATCATCCTGCAAAGGAGCCGTTCCGTAGCTGCCAAGCTTATGCGTCCGCTCTGGAAAAAAGGGATTGTTGCAAATATTGAAAACGAGAGAGCGCTGCGGCCAAATTCACTCGAGCCTCCTGGCCCACGCGTCCCCTCCACTCGCCTCTCAGCTCTGACGGGCGTTATCCCCTGGCTAAGAAGCAACCTTATTTCCTCCCTGCTAACAGCTGTCAGGTAGCCCTGTCATAGAGTTGGAATGTGGAGGGGTGCACCTCCAACTCTTCGTTCTCAGCTCAGCCCTGTCTCGCTTCTGGCTGCTATCTCTGGCCTGGCCTTGTTATTTCTCACAGCTGCAAATTAACCGGCCTGGGAACCTTAACGGTTTTGTGCTCAGCCGCTTGCTTGCTTGCTAGCTTCAGCCCGCGCGCGCGAAACATACTCATTGGCTTTGGCTCATGGGTGTGTGGGTGTGTGTGTGATTATACCATAAGCCAGTGGCCATCATGTTGTAGGTCATTCCTGACACAAGCTGTATACTCGTTCTTTAGTAATGGACTACCAATAAAACACTTATCTTTTCAAGAAGCCTTTGTGTGTGGTGTGATCCTGCTAAGAAGCCTGACAACACCAGAGTTGGAAGGGGCCATACAGGCTATCTAGGTCCAGCCCCTGGCTCATTGCAGGATCAGCTCAGAGCATCCCCCACAAGGGTTTTTCCAGCCACTGCTTGAAAGACTGCCAGGGAGGGGGAGCTCACCACCTCCCCAGGCAGCCGATTCCATGGCTGCACAACTCTATCAACAACTGTTTCCAAGATCCAGCTGGTACCTTCCTGCCCTTCATTTAAACCCCTTCTTGCGAGTCCTCTCCTCTGCTGCCCACAGGAACAGCTCCCTGCCCTCCTCTGAGTGACACAGCCCTTCCAAGACTTCAAGAGAGCAATCATTCAATGTTCAGTAAGCCCCTTTGGAACTCAGTTCCAATTTTAAGATTT